TTATTCAAAATGAAGACATTGCAGGTTTCATTCACAAGGTAGACTATTAAGTCAAATTCACTACTTACTTTGGTTGTAAGAACTTCCTTATTTTTAAATCTTACTGTTTATGAGACTAAAGCTGTTTGTTTTAAAAATATTATCATAAGCTTTAAAGGAGGTAGAACTTCGAGGTTGGGAAGTTTAGGGCTTGAGACCTAACAAACTCTTCCGTGAGTCAGCTTGTGAGGTTCACTTTTGTACCTCTGCCAAATTTTAAATTGCTACACATCATAGATCTTCCCTATCGTTCCAGTAGTCCAGGCTGAGAATACTGAATCCTTGAATGCCTTGGGTCTGCTGATGATCTTTATATTGTTCACATCTTCATTGGTATGTCCCAGGCAAAGCCTATTTGTGCCCCCTCTTCTTTGCCAGCCCATTTCCCTTTTTTTCTTGGATTTGGAGGAACCCCATCCAGTCTTGTGAGCCCAGCTCAAATCCTACTGCTCTCTTTGAAGCCTTTCCTGACTGTTCAGTACACAGGCTCTTGTCCTCATCTGAATGCTGACTACTCACAAGGCCAGACAGGCTAGCATTTGGTGATTCTCTGTTTCCAGGACTATTAATAAGCTTCTTGTCCTTAGAGTGTTCTCTTCATGGTACGTGCCCAGTACATGAATGCTGGTTTATGTATTAGGAAATAATGTTGGAAATACTGTTTTTGTACTTGGCTTTCCACGGGCAACTCACTAATATGGGTAAGCCATAGTGAATTTTGTTAGACATTTCTTGTAGGTTACTTTACTGTTGAGTCTGTCAGTTCATTTCCTTACCCATCCTTATTTATGTTTTCATTTGGTATTTTATTTAAACAGGTACCTGGCTTGGTAACTTTAAAGAAGCTCTCCTGTGTTAGTTTTGCTGGTGTTGATAGTCTGGATGATGTTAAAAATCATACATACAATGAGTTATTTGTATCTGGAGGGTTTATCGTGTCTGACGAATCAATTCTAAATCCAGAGGTTATCACAATTGGTAAGATTTTTACATTCTTATGAGCGTGTAACTTCTCTTACTTTTTTCTAGGTTTTTCTCATTAATGATGAGAAATCATAATTTTCAGTGTAGTGTCCATTATTCCTGCCACTCTCAGATAACTAGTGCATTCCCATCTTTTTTACTTTTGAGCTTTCATTACCTAAACTTTTTCCTGTTTGTAGTCTTTTCAAGTCATTGCCTCTGAATCTGGTAGAAGGTAAGGTTCTGTGGATCTCCTGCACTTGGGGCACCCCTGACTTGTCACTGCTGTGTTGTTTTAATGTGTAGATGCTGTGTTCTTAGAGCTTTGGGGATATGTAGGTCTCTGTCTCCCTTAGAGGGCGGAAAGAGAAAGAATAGAAAGGAGATAAAACATAGAAAGGAGATGTTTCTATATAATATGAACAAGCACTTCTGTAATTCAGTTCTGGATGACTGTTATTTATTGAATTAAAAATGAACTTCTTTATCTCTTAACAGAGAACCTTAAAAATTTTTTGACATTCCTTGAAGAACTTAGTACTCCAGAAGGAAAATGGCAATGGAAAGTCCACTGTAAATTTCAGAAAAAACTAAAGGAACTGGGAAGGTAAGGTTTGGAAAGTAACTGTATAATTGTTGATGTTAACATTGTGCTCGCAGTTTTTTCCATGGGTGTAGCTCAGTTTTCACAGATGTCCTTAGCCAGCCATTGGGAGTGTTGATATTATTCTGGCCTTTTTAGGAGGAAGTAGTAGTCTTGTTCAGGTAGAAGTTTGGTGATGCTGTAGTTATATGTGTATGGGAAATACTGGTTTAGTCTTTCCCACTTGAGTGTTTAGAATAATAATCAGCATGGACTAACAGACACTTACCATTTTTCACTGAGCTGTACATGCCAACTTCTCCCATTGAAGGACCACCTTAGGCACCTAATCTAACAGTTACACGTTTGGACAAGGATCAATCTCTGCCTGACAAAGGGATTTCTGATTAGGATATTCATGTATATAAATAGGTGATTTCTAACATGTCCAGAAATCACTTGTTTCTCAACGTGTGCTCCTTGGAGGTACTAGTTACCTGAGAGGCTCCAGAAAACATTGTTATCAGATGAGTTTGGAATACTGTATCCAACTACTGGAGAGTCAGTACAGTACATTCACATATTAAAGGATCTGGGAAACTCTGTAGTTAAGAATTCTGTCTAATGTTGGGCCAACCGCATTTCCTAAACTTACACGAGACCACAAAATGTTTATTTCTTGTAATACCTACTAACATTCCATGGTAGATGCTTTGGAAATTCAGGCTTAAAGAATTTTGAAGTGTTTAACTTTTTGTAGTTCACATTTTTAAAAACTTGTTCATCTTTACATCATATGTAGTAGTTCCAAAGGTATAACTCGTCCAGTTACTTAATACCCTCATCTCCTGACAATAGCCAGTGGTTTCTCCTACCTGCTGCTTTGTGTCTTAAGGTGTATATTTAAGGAAAAAAAAAAAAAAAAAAAAAAACCCTGCTGCTGTTGAGTTGATTCCAACTCAGCGATCCTATAGGACAGAGTAGAACTGCCCCATAGGGTTTCCAAGGAGCGGCTAGTGGATTTGAACTGCCAAATTTTGGTTAGCAGCCAAGCTCTTAAGCACTCTGCCATCAGGGCTCCGTGTTAGTGTGTAGAAATAGCTTAAAGCCATGTATTGTGGAACTTTCTGAGATTTATACTTTTTTGTCCTTCATTATAAACTCTAAATTAGCAAAGCTAACTTATTTAGTAAATAAAACGACTGAACTTAATATTTAGTAAGTAAAAATTGACTGGAGATTTTAGCCTAAACTGAATAACTGGCCCTCAGGCCTTGGGCCCGGAGAAGGTCCCTGGACAATGCCTCTTCTCCATCTGTGTCCCAAGAAGCAGCCCTACACCAGGCAGTGAGCTAAGTAATGCAGTTGTCGTTAGTCACTTGCATTGAGAAATGGTGGTTTTAATCTGAAGCAAAAACTTCCAGACTAAGTTTTAGAAATGCAGATCCAGATACTGAAGTGCTTAATCTCACAGATTGAACGCTAAAGCCTTGAGCCTGCTGACGCTTCTGAATGTCTATCAGAAGAAACATCTGGTTGAAATTTTATCGTACCACAACTGTGATTCACAAACTCGAAATGCCCCAGAACTGGATTGCCTTATCAGACTTCAGGCTCAGAACATCCAGCAACGACACATAGTGTTTTTAACAGGTAAAGAGAGCATTCTTAACCTTCCTTTCTCCCATGAGTCTGGGAATGTGGAGGGAGAAAAGGGTTTTGTGGGGCTGTGGTGGGTGTTGATCGTTAAGCTGCGATACTGAACATGTCGATTTTGTGAGGACCAGGGGCAGGCATCGTTTGTCCAGGCATATTCCCAAGTCTTTACACTTGAACCATTGTTTGTTTGTTTAGAGAAGAACATCAAGATGCTTTCCAGTTACACAGATAATGGAATAGTGGTCGCAACTGCGGAAGACTTTATGCAAAACTTTAAGAGTCTTGTGGGCTTTCACAACTCTGACACAGATGAAACCCTTCCGCTGCTTGGTGCTAATGAGAATCTTGAGTCACAGTCAGGTAACTTTTCAGTAGTTTTCATTTTCTTTAAGGCAGACAGAAAAAGGGGACCGGGTTTTGCTCTGTTAACAAGGAAATGCCTATTTTGCAAACACTCCCCTCGGGAAGTGTTTGAAGGCATTTAGCATTCTGATACTTAGCATGCACAAAACCTGGTCGTTTACTGTACTGTAGCCAATAGAAGTTGATAGTTACCAGACTACGCATTTCAGTGTATCCTGTAGACTATGCATATTCTGAGTATAAAAGCTTAACAGGCTGCTGTTGTCAGCAAATGGGTTGTATTAATAAAAAAGTAGGAAACCAGATACTGGGATTTAGCATTGGGCTACAGCAGTCAGTCTCCCCAGACGGACAGACCAGTTTAATTCCAGGTAGTCCGGGTATCGGTAGCTTTAGTCTTTTGTGAGATGGCCTCTGCTTTGGTTCCAGGTTTTGTATAAAATGAAAGATGTGCTTAATTTTGTTTTTGATGAAAAGCAGAGATGATAGAGCAAACCAGCTTAGTAATCAGTCCAGTGAAGCTAGATGTCAAAAATTTTTATTTTATATTTGTTTTGCCAAATACTGAATTACCGTATAACTTTAGATGCTGTTTTGACATTAACCCCTTTGGAGCTGGGAGTTGGGATTTCCCAACATTAAACGTGAACACATTTCGCAGAAGCTTTTAGCATCGGATTATCTGGACATTCACACCTAGTGTGAGTGTTGTGACTAAGTGAACTTGTGGCAGAAGACCAAGCTTTAAGGGATTGTGGACTTGCAGACCCCTGGCGCGTTATATTGTGTGAGTAGTGTATAATTTTAAAACTTAAACAAATTGTGTATTTCAATAGAGGAGGACTTTTTGTTTTTTAAATGTAGCTCTTTTAGAAAGCGATGGAAAGGATGAAGAGGATATGTCTCTGGATTCAGGGAATGAAATCTCACAAATAGAAGTTTGCAGCAATTTTCATTCAGAGATATTGGCGAAAGAGACCAAAGGATCACGTGGAACAGATCAAAAAAAGAATATTCATATTGAGTTGCAGTCGTCTCTTGACATGCAAAAAAGTTTACTAGAAGATCAGACTTATCCAATTGATTCTGCAGAGAGAGCTTCTCTTGGTAGAGCGTGCTCGGAAGAAGAGAAGAGCAATTCAGCAGAACACGATTTGTACAGCAACTTTCAGTTAAATATGTCCCAGCAGTTTAGTCATTTTAATGTTCTTACTCATCAGACATTTTTGGGGACACCATATACCCTTTCATCAAGTCAGTCTCAAGAAAGTGAAAATTACTTTTTATCTGCTTATACTCAAAGCTTGGATAGAGATAAATCCCCGTCTCCGTTAAGTTGGGGGAAAAAATGATTCTTCCAGACCGTATTCAAAAGAGAAGTAATTATAGTAACTTTTTTTTTTTTTTTTTTTTAAATAGTTTGTTGTGGACTTCTTCTGTTTCTTAAAAGTGAGTTAACAATTTATATTTCATTCTCTAAACAAAAGATTTCTTGTCCTTTCTCAATTTTTTTCTCTTATTTAAATCATGATGGCCTGTAACAGTTGAAGCATCTAAAAATTAAAATAAATATATATTTTTTAACATATTGTTACTTGAATTATATCTCATGATGGCACTTTTAAGTTTTACATTTGTATGTCACATACTTGGGCTTCAAATTGAAGCCTGTTTTATATGTAAAACTAGGTATTTACAGAAAGGATGGAAACATCAGTGGCTTTACCTTTATTCCTCTAATGTCAGATGATACAAACTACTTTTGCTGAAATGAATTACCGATTATTTATTTTGATTTAAGCTTTTGTATAGTGTTTTTACACAGGTATAAGCCAGTGATGTTAATTATTTACAGGATTCTGGCTCAAGACCACAAGATTTATATAAGAATGGCAGTTTCATTTAGATAATCAACTATGTAAATAAGACTTAATACCAAGCAGCACTATTTTTATCATCTTTAGGCTTAGCCATGTAAAAATTGCCTATTGCTAAAATTTCAGTCAGCTTTTTATTTGAAAGTATTTGATAATTACAATTTTCAGTGCTTGTGTGGGCCTTGATTTAACCAAATTTAGTTTCATCTTTTAAAAAATAGGCTTCTGTTACTTAAAGGCATAAAACAGTTGTTTGGAAAAAACTTGCCTATAGATTTTTAAACTGGCAGTCGTCTTAGAAGACTGGAAGTATATAGTATATTTTTTGACATTATCTTTAGTAGGATTAGTTACCATTTATTCAGCAGTTTAGGTGCTAAAGTGTATGGTGGAAAGTATATGGTGGATATAGAAAACTCACATCTGTTGCTCATAACTGCCTCTCCATTACTAATGCTAACCTGTAAATGTGTTTTGAAAAAAGAGGATTTAGAAAACAAAAAAGAAGTCAGAACTTCAGCACCTCAAAAGGACTGTGGAAGAATGCCGCTTTTTTTAAACAACTTGTTTTTGTTGATTGATTGATAGAACAAAATACATGAGTGGTATTGTGGGGCAGAATGTGTTAACAGGTCAGAGACTCCAGACTGTATCACGGTAAGTAGAATGTTTCTATGGGACTTAAATACCCAGGTTATGAAAAAGCAAAAAAAAAAAAAGAAAAAGTGTTTTTTTTTTTCCAACTAGAAAACTTTTGTAAAAGTGTCTTTTATTATATAAAAATACAGCATTTTACTACATAATGTATAAAAGTTTTTAATGAGCATTTGAAAAATACAACTGAACAAAGAGCACATTTTATAATTTGGAAGACAAATGTGAAGGATTTGGTTTTCTACAGTTAAAACAAAGAACTAAAATTCTCTTCTTGATTTGCAGCTGAAGGCATGAGATTAGTTTCCAATTCCTTCTGCTTCTGGAGAAGGCCCTGAAACCACATTGATATGTTAGGAAGGTGTGCAAGCAGACTTGCAAAGCAATTCCTGAGTTATACTGACTTTGAAAACATTATGGGTTAAGCCCAGGATAGAATTATGTTACTTGGCCATAGTTTAAAAGCTTTTGTCTTACTGGATTTTTTTGCACAAACTTTTTTCACTAACTCCTATTGTAAAGTTCCTTGCTTGGATATATAGCTATTACATATTTCTAAGACTATTTCTAAGACTATATTTTTAGCAGAAAAACCAAGTCTTTCTAACTATGGAGCTAGAATGAGATGCCCTCTCCCACTAAAAATGCTCTTAAAATGGTGAGTCCCCTCTCCCACTAAAAATGCTCTTAAAATGGTGAGTCCCCATAACATCAAGTGCTTGTCTTGACTGCACTAACCTTAGTGGCTAATTCAAGGCCCTGAAGTAGGGCTTGGGAATTTCCTTTTGACCTCAAAACTTTTCTCCAGTAAGCTAGGAAGTAAAGACTTTTTCACTATAAAGATTTAAGAAATCTTTGAAAGGATGCTTTCTGTGTCACTAATTTATCCTCAGATGAATAAATGGGCCAATGTAGGGGTGAGATTCTAGCTCTATAGAGTGAAAGAATTGGTAACACGTGAACCAACAGTTTGAGATGCAAGGAAGGCTAGAAAAGGGTACCCCTAAAGCAACATAGCTTTTTTCCAAAATTAAAAAAAAAGTGTATCAAAACTAGTTGTACAACCAATTTTGCAAACCCATTTTTTTTTTTTAGCTCAAGGAGACGGGTTATATAAACAAACAGGTAACACCCCCAAGAGCACGATAATGAGAAGTAAAAATGATTGGTTTATGTGACACCAAATTATACAGTACTTTTGGACTTGCAGCTCTGTTCTGAACACTGCCAACACATTAATTTTTTTTAAAAATGTGGGCTTCATTCTTAATTTTTTTGTTGGGGTGGGCGGGGGGCCTTTTGGTGTTTTTTAGGGTCTTTAACTGATAATGTTTTACCGTTCAAATGTATGTATTTTTCATTCAATAAAATTGTCTTAATATTTGAACTGTCTCGTGATTTCATACTGGAAAGAACCATTTTTAAAGATGTCAGTGGGAAGGCTGAAGCCAATGATTGAAATGTAGTTCCAGTGTATTCCCATTCAAAATTAATATACAAGTGCAAATCACAGAACCAACTAGGCACTTCAAAGATTTAGCCATACAACTGTCTCCCCACCCCTGACTACACTGAAACCAGTCATAGACAGCTGGTGACAAAGCTCATACCTGTCTCAGTTCTGACAGTCCCTTCAAGATTGCTTGCTGTCGATCCCTGTTTCTCACCAGGTTAGGGTTAAGAAGCGGGTCCCTGACAAGGTCAGATTCAGATAGTTGCTGTTGTTCTTGGTCACCGTCTGAAGCCAGATGAAACTGACAAGTCAAATGCATTTCTAATAACCCGGCCCTAAACCCCCTAGTATTTTACGAATTCATTAATAGTTAGTTAGAAATAAAAAAATTTAGCAGTGGACTCTGGACGAGAAAAAATTCTTTCCACGTCCCCCGGGCACATCTTTTGAGATTGCAGTAACAGAACTAAGGGCTGGAACAGTAACTCAGATTTTGAGTTTAGGTTAGAAGGGTTCAATTTTTACAATAAGACGACTTGTATTTACTTACCATGTGAATTCTGGTACTGAGGGTCCTGGGTTGAAGGCCCGGATAATGGTGCATCTGGATTCAGGTAATAGATCTCATTGGTTCGGACATAGGGAATAAAATCAGATGGTTCAGAAATCCCAAGTGATGATTCTGTTTGACTAGCTTCTGAGATCAGATTCTCTCTCTCGTAACTACTGTTCTTTAGTGGTAAGTGTAATGTATTAGTCTGAGTTTGTTGGGTTCTGTTTTTCACTGCTGGAATTGGTGATTGAGGCCTACTTTAAAAAAAAAACAAAATAGCAATCAAGAAACTTTAATACAAAATTGTGCGTTTTAAATTAAGAATATCTACTCTTTAATCACATTTCAATTTATTTTTTTAAATGTACCTGTTAACAGTTCTAAGAACACTGTTATGTAAAGAAGCCTCAGTTCTTTGATAACTTTTTCATAAAAAGCACAACAGAACAGGATTAACTCCAGTTTTTACTAGTACTACAGCTCAGAATGTAAGTAGTATAGGGGAAAATTACAGTTGATTTTCATTCGTAGACTGTATATTTGCCAATTTGGCTACTCACAAAAATTTGTAACTCCAAAATCAAAACTTGTGGCACTTCAGGGGTTTGTAGACGTGCTCCAAACCAAACCCATTGCCGCTGAGTTGATTCTGACTCATAGCAACCCTCCGGGACAGAGTAGAACTGCCCCGTAGGGTTTCCAAGGAGCAGCTGGTGGACTCAAACTGCTGACCTTTTGGTCAGCAGCTGAACTCTTAACCACTGTGCCACCAGGTCTCCATAGAGCAGTGAGTAATTCGAGTTGCCCAATGTGCGTATACTTAGCTGAGGTCAAACAAAGTGACACTCTGCCTTGTTTCAGCTCTCCTACTCGTTTAACAAGTGTCCTTTCCAGGGTCCATTTAGTGCCACTATTTTTTCTGCTTTTTGTTGGCGACTTTGCTGTTTAAAATGGCCCGTAATCGCAGTGCTTCCATGCCATCTAGCGTGCCTAAGCACAGGAAGGCTGTGATGTGCCTTAGGGAGAAAATGGGAGTTAGGTGAGCTAGCTTCAGGAGTGATTTACAGCGCTGTTGGCTGTGAGTTCAGAGATAATGAATCAAGAATATAAAGGCGTCTAAAAACATGTTAAAGTTACGCATTGATCGGCTGACAGAAATGTTGTGCACAGAGGCTCGCAGGAACCTCGCCTTTTATTTCCACTAGGAGCAATGGGTTCAGTGTTAGCTTAACAGCGTTTAGGATGGCTTTACAGAATATAACTATCACAAATAATGAGAACCAATGGCATTAGGTCCCGAGGATCAATGCTGGCTGGGTTAATCTGAGCCTAATGCTTCTCCTTAGATAATTCACCTAAAATAACGTACTTACCATCTGAACTAAATTTTCTATTACAGCCCCCGTCTGACCCAACTCTCAACTAGCTGGTTCAAGCACAAAGGCAGAAAGTAAAAATTCTAACAGTTCCACATATGTTGTTTTAAATCTCCCATTGATTAAATTTTTCATTGTCCTTAATCATTTTTTCAGTGCTCCCATAATCCAAGCAGAATACCTATTCCACTGTTCACATACCTAGAAAAACCAACCCGCTCAGCTGAGCCTGGAGGTCATAGACAAGGTCACCCACGTTCCTGCCCAGGATGCCAAGGCCCAGACTTACCCAGCTGGGGCTTCCCACAAGCTGCCATCTAGTCAACTCTTTAAACTCCAGCCAAAATGCCACCCTTTCCCTTAAACCTCAACTGCTTACCTGGAAGTCACAACCTTTCAATTTCTTGCTGTCTTCATATACACACATGCCTTATCTCACCTAGACTTTGAGTAGATGTTTGATGCCTCTTGTCTCACACAGAAAACATTAAATGACTATGGAATCAATCTCATCCATAACATACCTTTCCTTACTGAAAGAATTAATTTTTAGAGGCTCTTCTTCCTAAAAAACAGACAGATAGATGCAGGTAAGCAGTATATAGCTTTTCCATGTCCCCACCAATATTTTTAGTGGTTACTTGTTGAAATAATCTGAGGATATTTGAATAAAAGATAGTGGATCATGGAATAAAAAGATTTCGTATTTCTAGAGTCAGAAGCAATCCAGTAATTCCTCATCTTACAAACTGTCCACTGTCTACATGGACAACAGTGTGAATAAAGAACAGCATTCACTAAGTGTAAACTTTTCTGTAAAAGACCAGATAGTAAACATTTTTTGCTTTACTGTGTTCACAAAAAGCTTTATTTAAAAAATCAGATAGCAGACTGGATTGGTCCATGGGCTGTAGTCTGCCAATCCCTGGTATACGCTAAAGCAAATTTCTAGAACTCCCGTTGAGAAACAACAGAACAGTCTTGTTGAAAACATGAACATGGGAAACTGTTTTGCTTAACAATGAAATATTCAGAAGAGCTTCACCTTTTTGACCAGGTGCCACCTGAATCTTGACTCAGTTTCCTGATGAGATGTGGGAAGAGCTTCCGGAGAAGAGCTGCTGTTTGGAGAGAGGTGTCCAAGGTTATTTCTTTCTACCAAGTGAAGAAGTTCCATTTGCCTTCTTACTTTTTTTTCTTCTCTCTGCTTTTGAAGCTGTTTAGGGTACTTTTCTGACGCTGGAATATACCCTCTGAGTGGCTTATGTATATTCCAGTCAGGCCTTTTTAGACATTTCTTCATGTGTCTGATTTGCTTCTCTGTCCTTGTGAGCTGATTACAGTGGCCACTATGCCAGCTGTTTTCTAAGTTGGCTCCTTTATCCTGACTTAATTCTTGCTTGTTTTTCTTAGTGTTAAATTGTCCATTAAATTCTGCAGAAATCTCAGGAGACGGACAGTCAATAATCTCCCTCTCAAGTACTGATCCACAGTGTGATTCTGTACTGAACATTCCTGTATTTAAATCATCTAAAGAAAAAAAGTTTCAGATGACTTATTCTTAGCACCACATTATATATGCATCATTTTTTAAAGCAAAAGTTCCCATAGAACTGTTTGAGCTTTCACTCAGAACATACAAAATGCCACATACGGTGTCACCTTGTATTGTCTAGAGCCTGTTTATTTCCAAGACAAGTCTAATCTAGTTTTTCTATCAAAGGCAGTAGGACCTCACATTTGTTTGCAAAAAGCACTTTAGAAGTCATTTAAAAAAAGACATTTGAAGTTTTCTTGTTTTCCTGGTTTGAAATTAATGAAGAACATAAACATAAAAGATCTGGAAAATGTCCTTTAGTTCTTTGTTTTTACCTCAGAGGCACTGGATACACGTTTCTTAAAATCACCCTCTTAAAGCAGTTACCTCTTAGGTGAGGGCTGCTAATGATACTAAGTTCCATGTACGTTTGAGTCCTTATCTATCACCTGAAGCTAAGACCCAGATCTTGCCTGCAGACCATTTCTAATCATAACCTTCACTTTTTTCCATTGTATAAACAGGAAAAAGTCACCACTCAAAAAAGACGCCTGAAATTTCCTTACTACTAAGGTCCAGTAAGATACTCAGCTATCACAGCTGTTTAACCAGCTGAATAACAACACTGCAAAGGCTCTCTTTCACATATGATTAAAATTTCAAATACATAATTAGGTACTGAAAGAGGTCTGGGTGGCATATGAAAAAAATAAGCAGTCCAGTTACACATCTCCTAACTTCCCTCAGACGCTTAGAGGGATAAGCTCTATCAAGCGTGTCGTTCAGGCTGGGGCTGCTGGAGGACTAATCCTGAGCAAGGCTGCCCAACCTGCACCCGTCACACTGGGTATTTTCCTTTTGCCACTCCAGACCCACCTGCCACCCCTCCGCCCCACTCTGTCCTGACAGGCTAGACCACATTAGTGGGTTTCTAAGTCCTCTAGGTTTGGGTTCTGTCAAAAGGGCTCCCAGGCAGATTAAAAGGAGGGACGAGTGAGGTCAGGGCTCTTTCTCCACTGGCTCATTCCCTGTGAGCTGACCTCAGCCCCACTGGTCCTTAACTGAAGGTCACTGCTGCTCTCAGGTGACTTCTACACAACTCTTGCCCCCTGGGCTCTGCTAACAGCTCAGCTGCTACTAGCACCAGAGCCAATGCACTCTCGTGACTCCCTTAACACCTACTCCTTTGGAAATAGTCCCTTTCTAAATAAATCGTCTTGAATTATCCCACTTTTGGACCCTGACTGATTAAACTTCCTTATTTAATAGCGCCACCCACAATATCACAGTCTTAAGCCTTGTCTTAAGCCTTAGTTGCACTTTTTGTTAATTGTTGTGTAGGATTTAAATAACTTATTAGATATTCATCTGGACATAAGGGGACGACTGAACCCGATTCTTCTATGCTTAAGAGCAGACTATCAAAAACCGCCAAGAGCGCATCAGCAGAACAACTTCAGTTAAAGAAGCAGGCTGCACCGGCCAACTGCTTTACTCCCCTTCTCTTTTCATAGTCCCTTCCTACTTTCCCGTCACGTGATGTGTTGGTTGGTACTGTATTAAAATACAGTCAAAAACTGGCAGAAAAGAGTGTTTCAAGGTAAGGATTTCCTTAAGACATTTTGGGATCAAGGCCCTGCACTGCCCAACTCTGTAGTAGCTCTTTGGTATCCTGAGGGCAACACACTGCCGTTAACTATGGCCAGCCATTCTGCCATTCTGGTTTCTGTCTCTTTTTAAATTACCCAAGGACGACGAATACTGACAGGAGGCGCCACTAGTTTAAAATGTGAAAAGATTAGAACATTTCCCAAACAGAGGGCTGAAGACACAATGAGCATGGAGACCTATGATAATGATACCCAACAAAGATGCTTACTACTTATTCAAAAAATTAAAACCAGCTCATGAAAAGACACTCAACATCATTAGTCATGAGAAAAATGCAATGAAAATCACAATGAGGTATCACTTTATACACACTAACCAAAAAGACTAAACTAGCTGCCATCAAGTCGATTTTGATCACGGTGGACTGCGTTACATCAGGTTTTCAAGGCTGTGACCTTTCAGAAGTAGATCACCAGGCCTTTCTACCAAAGCACCTCTGGGTGGGTTAGAATCGACAACCTTTCAGTTAACAGTTGAGTGCTTAAGCATTTATACCACAACCAATGACTCCTTTTCATACACACTAGGATGGCTATAATAAAAAAGACAAGTGTTAGCGAGGATGTGGAGAAACTGGAAACTTCACGTGCTGCTGGTGGAAAAAAATGGCGTAGCCGCTTTGGAAAACACTTCGGCAGTTCCTCAAAATGTTATAACAGAGTTACCATATGACGCGGCAATTTTACTCCAGGTCTATACCCAAGACAATTGAGAACATATGTCCACACAAAAACCTTTATTCATAATAGCAAAAAAATGGAAATAACCCAATGTCCATCAACTGATGAATAAATAAACAAAATACGATATACAAAGGAATCTTATCTGGCAATAAAACATGGAATACAGATACACGCTACAACATGGACAAACCTTCAAACATTATGCTAAGTGAAAGTAGCCAGTCACAAAAGACCAAATGTGGTATGATTCCAATTATATGAAATGTCCACTGTAGACCAATCCACAGAGACAGAAGGTACATTAGTTGCTGTCCAGGTCTGGGGGTTCGGGGAAATAGGCTGATAAAAATGTTCTAAAACTGATTGTGATAATGGTTGCACAACTGTGTTGTACACCTTCAAAGGGTGAATTCTGTGCTACATGAATTATATCTGAACCAAGTCATTGTTAAAAAAAACAAAAATCCAAGACATCAGATCTCTTTAGTTTCTAACTCACTCACGCTTAAAAATCTCAAATTCCTTTAATTTTTAAACTTTTTAAATTAACTGAAGTTAATTCTAATTGTTTTAATCGTGACTTTAAGTAAATCTTAAATCATAAATTCTAAAGAAATACCTGTTTGCACACCAGTATCCTTCTTGGGAGAGGTCGTATAATTGACACATGTATTCATCTTACCACCGGCTTCATCAGAGCTATGTCTTAAATTTGAAATGTTGTTAGTGGATGCGTTATATTCCATTTGTATTGTATCACCTGGTGAGGAGAAATAAATTGTCTGATAAAATGACAATGCAGGAATATTAACAGAAATTATATACAGCAGCAACTAAACATTCAGTAAGACTTTTAGTTAAACCAATCACTATGAACACTGCAATGAAAATTTAGAAGGGCTAGCTTAAGTGTTCTTTCAAAAGATTAACCCACTGCCATCAATTTGATTCCCTTTCATAGCGACCCTATGAAATTGCCCTGTTGGGTTTCTAAGGCTATCATCTTTACGGAAGCAGACTGCCACACCTTTCTCCCGCAGAGCGGCTGCTGGCTTCGAACCATCAACCTTTCAGTTAGCAGCTGAGTGCTTAACCACTGCACTACCAGGGCTCCTGTAAAAAGTTACTTACATTTTATCCCTTACTGAATTTAGGGAGATAAATTAATATTTTTCTTTAAAAAAAAAAAAAAAGATACAAAAGTACACATTTTCCCTACCTCACAGGATTACTATGAGCAGCATAGTAAAATCTATGTAAAAAGATAACTGAAAAGTGTAACTTTAGTTGTATTTCAATAAAATTTCCCAAATAAGCATCACTATTTATAAAGTTACATTAGTTCAGACTTCAACAACTTAACAAAAACACAACCCAATTAAAAAATGGGCAAAAGGCACTTCACCAAAGAGGACATTCAAGCAACCAACAAAACACCTGAAAAGATTTCGCCATTACCCATCAGAAAGATGCAAATCAAAACAACAATGAGATACTATCTCACCCCTGCTAAAATGGCACTGAGAAAAAAACAGAAGACAAACGCGGGCTGGAATGTAGGGCAACTGGAACCATTATCCACTGCTGGTGGGATTGTAAAATGGTACAGACGCTATGGAAAACGGTACGGCACTTCCTCAAAATACTAGAAATAAAACTACCTTTTGTCCAGTAATCTCACGCCTAGGTGCATACCCTGGAGACCTAACAGAAGGACATAAACAGACATATACACACCTATGTTCACTGCAGCACTATTCACAATAGCAGAAAGATGGAAACAACCTAAGTGCCCATCAACAGATGAATGGATAAACCAAATGTGGTACATACATCCAATGGGATACTACTCAACGACAAAGAACAATGATGAGTCCTTGAAACATAACATGGATAAATCTGGAAGACATTATGCTAAGTGAAATATGTCAATCACAAAAGAATACTGTATGATCTCACTTTATAAAAAGACAAAAACAGATATAAATGCAGAAACCAACGTTCATTGGTGGTTACTAGGGTCAGGTAAAGAGGGGAGAGGGGAACCACTCTTTAGAGAGTAGACACTGCTTATTTTTTGTGTTGGGAAGGGTAACACCGAACGAAGATGGGTGAAGTGCACATAGCTTGACCAAGGTGAATGATGTCACTAAGAAGTATACAAACACAAAAAGGGACAATTTTGGTAAATGCTAGGACATACATAATTTCACAACACCACTAACAACCAAAAACTTTGTGTAGTTACATATGTATGTATGTATATATGTAGTTACATATGTATATATGTATGTGTATTAAGTATGTGTGTATACATATACACACCCACATATATTCATATATATAATAAGGCACATACGGGGCGCAGTCATGGATACTTCTTAGACATAAACACCTCACAAGATTGGTTTTCTGGGTTTGAAGACTTAGGACCACAGTCTCGTGAGACAACTCAGTCAACTGGCATAATATACTTCATGAAGTTTATGTTCCACACCCTAGCTTGGTGAGTCCTAAAAGCCTGCAAGCTGCCATCTAAGATACAACTATCGGTCTCTTCTCTTCCAAAGCAAAAGAGAAAGAAGGAAACCAAAGACTTAGAGAAGAAACTAACCTACAAAACAGTCTACACAACCCACAGCCTCATCTACCCTGAAACCAGAAGAGCTAGATGGTGCCTGGCTACCAGTAATGACTGTTCTGAGCAGGGCCACAATAGATGGATCCTGACAGAAGGGGAGAAAAATGTGAAACAGAACTCAAATTCTTAAAAAGTCCAGACTTACTGGACCAGTTGAGACTAGAGGACTCCCCGAGACTATCACCCAGAGATACTCCATAAACCTTGAACTGAAACAACCATGAGGTCAGCTTTTAGCTAAATAACAGACTGGCTCATAAAATGAAGAATATTACTCTTGAGTACTGTGTACCATTAAGAAATCATCTACGTGAGACCAAATGGTCAACAAGTACTCTAAAGCAAAGATGAAAAGGTAAGGTGACAGGGAAATCAGATTACTGGAAACGAAACACATAAAATGGAATAAGAATGTTGACATATTGTGAAAAATGTAACCAATGTCACTGTGAGGATTGTGAGGATGGCGCAGGACCGGGCACTGTTTCGTTCTGTTCTACATAGGATCGCTATGAGTTGGAATCGACCCGACGGCACCCAACAACGTCACTGAACAATGTGTATATAAATTGTTAAATGGAAACCTAATTTGCTGTGAACACTTTCACCAAAAACACAATAAAATATTATTTTAAAAGTTACATTAGTTCAAGGCCTGAAATTTCTTTTAAAAAACTGAGTTAATGTCCCTGTTTGCGGATGATATGATACTATACACAGAAAACCGTAAAAACTGCACGAGAAAAAACTACTGGAACTAATAGCTTCAGCAGAGTAGCAGGAGACAAAATAAACATACAAAATCAGTTGGATTCCTATACACCAATAAAGAGAATGACAAAAAGGAAATCAGGAAAACAATACCATTTATAACAGCCCCTAAAAAAATAAAATACTTAGGAATAAACCTAATCAGGGATGTAAAAGACCTATACAAAGAAAACTACAAAACATACTGCAAGAAACCAAAAGAGATCTACATAAATGGAAAAACATCCCATGCTCATGGATAAGCAGACTCAACATTGTGAAAATGACAATTCTACCCAAAGCAATGTACAAATACAATGCAATCCCGATCCAAATACCAACAACATTGTTTAAAAAGATGGAAAAACTAATCATTAACTTTATATGGAAAGGAAAAAAGCCCCAGATAAGTAAAGCACTA